TCTGGTGGTTTTTGTTGTTGTATTATGAGTTTATTCTTCTGACGAGTTACTTTGGTAGTTAGTGCAGTTGCTGCTGCTCGTAATTGCTTCATACTTTTATTAGGGATGGGTTCTGGCGGAGGGCGAACAGGTTCTGGACTTGGACTTCGACAACGAGGATCTTTGTGTGAATGGCCCACTTGATCAGTTGTGTTGGTTTTACGGCTCCCTTGAAGTTTTTGTAATGTTGATTCGAGGTCTTGAAGTCTTCTTTGAAGTCTCCTGTTTTCAGCTTTAAGTGATATCTGTTCCTCCTTATCAATGCGTGCACTCTGATTACCTAAAGTATCAGTGCCTGAACTAGCCCCACCACCTCCACTTGACTCGTCAGCAAAAGTTCTTAGCATAAGGTGAAGTTTTTCCTGGTGTTGCCTCTGCAATAAAATTATCTGCCGTTCTGCCTCAAGTCTATACTGTCTGATTGCATTAGTGAGAGTTTGAATCTGCCAGGTCTGTTGGTCATTTTGTCCTTCTTTCTCTGTTAGCTGAACTTCAAGTTTCCTGCCACTTTCTCTAAGATCTATTACTTTTAGGAAATATTTGTAGAGGAGCATTCTCATTTCATCGTCCGACAACTTGTTTAATCTTGCCATAAGAAGCTCTTCACCCTTCCCTCTGCCACCAGCTTCAAACCCACTCTTGCGTCCACAAATCAGCTCATTTTTGTACTCGATTGCTGCGTCTATGGCTTCAATTGCCTCATCACATTCTAAAAGCTTGCGTTCCTCTAGTGTTGTCAAAGATTTTTCCTGCTGAAACTTGTCATCTAAGGCACAGCGTTCATCTATCAAACAGTCTCGAGTTGATCTCAGATTGTGAATTTCTAGCCTCAAAGACTGTTTTTCATCTTCATCTTTAAGTTTTTCAAGGTCTGTTGATTTCTCTTTTAATACTTGATCAAGATGAGATATCCTTGCACTATACTCCAAGAATTTACGGGTTTGTTGTTTTTCTAGTGATATTTTCTCTTTTACTAAAGCATCTCTTTGAAGATTCTCTTGTAGCCTCTGGGAAGATTCTCTCATGTTAACTTGCCGCTCCTCCTCCTCCTTGATCCACCGTAAATCTCCATCTTTGCTTCCACCAGTGCTTGGATTCCTGCTGTATCCATCATTTTTATTTGCTTCATTGTTACAAATTTCTAGAAGTTCTTTAATTTTTTCTTGGTCTTCAACTAAATTGTTCTCTATGGTCACCTTCCTAACTTCTTCTTTCCTGAGCCTTTGATTTAACTTTTCCATGAGGCGCTTTGAAGATTGAAGACTTTTCTCTAGTTCTAAGACCTTTTTTGCACTATCTCCTGCTATTTGTTTTATGATATCCATACTCTTAAGGCGTTGTTCATAACTTTTTACTTTCCTTTCATATTTTTCCTTTTCTTTCCTACACTTGGTGTTTTCTTCAGTATGACTAGCAGTCTTGTAGAGAGCACTTTGTATTTGGGCAACTTGTTGGCAGGTTTTGTAGTACTCTTCCTCTAATTTTGTTTTCCGCTCTTGAAACCGTTTTTTGGCACTAGCCCGAGTATCTGCATTGTTATGAATGTCCTGTATAAACTGTTCTTTCTCTGAGATAGTAGCTTGAAGTTCTTCTATCCTCTTTTGAGTACTCTCAATATCAAGAGCTACTTGCTTTACCTGATTCTGTTTTGCCTCACTTCCTGCTAATAGAAGTTTTAATTGTTGATGAGGGTCCATATGATCCTGTTTAGGGCCTTGTTGGTTTCCTTGCTGTTCTGTATTTTCTTTATAATTCAGAGCAAAATCAGCACTTTGATCATTATTATCTGTTTTTTCTCCTTCAATCTCTTCGCTATCTACTGTGATGTTTGCATTATCCAAGATAGGGTTGGTGTTAAATCCTAATGCCATAAGCGGCAATTGCGTACCTGGGTGAATACTCCTCCTTCTCCCATTATTGGGTAAACAATTCCTTACAGGGTGTTGTGTAACGCCATCTCCTGGGACATCTTGAAGTTGTCCATTGTCTAAGTAGGCACAATCTTCTTTATCCTTATCTTGCTGGCTGTTAACATGTTTATCAGTCTTCTCTTTGAACTGCTTTATGTATTTGTCTAGTTTGTCAATGAAATCAGGTTTTTGAGAGTCACTTTCTGTTTCACTCTCTGTTTCTGAATCATATTTTATATTATCTAAGCTGTTCTCTGGGACGTCAGCTTCTTTTGAAGAATCTGTTTTCTCTTCAGTCTCTGTTACTTCATCAATTTTTTCTAGTAGCCGTCCATCATTACCTCCCACGCTTGCTGCATCTTCATCATCACTGCCAACACACTCTTCACATTCATGTTTTAGACACAACCACTTCTCTATTTCATCGCGTTCCTGCTTTGAGAGGGTGTTGCTTTTCACTAGTTTTGTAAATAGACCTTCAGCACTTGCTACTAATTTTATCCACTGAGTTGTAGCAAACTCAAGTCCAAATGTGTCTCCAGTTCCTTCCTCTCCTGAAGGATTTGGAGGTCCATTTTGCTGTAGCATATCATGTGAAACATTGTTAACTTTAACAGACAGGGCATTCATTACTGGACAATTTCTTATTTGACTGAGCTGGGCGGCAAACTGTAATGTCACTAGAGACTCGTCAAAACTAGGCAAAGCGGGTGAAATACAGCAGATCACAAGGGAATAAGAACGCCCGCCAAATGATTCTTTGAGAAGTCTTGTTAGTGTTGATTGGCGATATACCTCTTTTGCAGTTTCATAACACATCCATTCAGAGGGTTGGCTTATGGATTGGATTACTTTGCCTAAAGCTATTAGCCCTGGATCCATGTGAACAGTTTCTCCCATCACATGACCTCCCATGCCTCTAAAGTAAATTTTTTCTGAGCTGGCAAGATCTGCAAATCTTGCAATAGACAACCGCTGTTCCATAGTACCCTCCGGTGTCACCCACTGTTGCTCAAGGGAAAGGGTAAATATTGAATGGGCCTGTGCTGGTCGCCCAGCTTGCCTTGCGTTGTTCCACTCCAGTTGTCTATTTTCAATACCTACATGTAAACAATTGTATAAGACCTCTATGGTTTCACATTCAATTTCTTGTAAGCCAGTAACAACAGGGTATCCAGCATCGCTCTCGACCAGAGCAAGTTCTTGCTGGTATTGACTAGATGTCAGGAGGTCCCTCAGCATTTCATTGTGAATGTTAACAAAGCTCACTTTCACTTGAAACTTTTTCGGTGGTCCTTGTTTCATTCTGGAGAAGATATATCTGGTAGCACGTGGTATAATACCATATTCTGTCTCACTAATGTGAAACGCAACCCCTGGGCCAAGCATTGTGTAGGTCTTGCCTGAGGTGGGTTGCCCGTGAGTTACCACAGAAGTATCAAATCCTTGAAGCAGTCTATCCATGAGTGGTTGGACTGCTGTTTCAAATATTTGGCTCTGTGATGATTCCATGGGGAAGGCATAGTCCACAGGGAATTGGAAGCACTTGTTGCCCAGGATGATTTGTTGTGCTTGAGGTAGGGCCTGGGCGCACACCATTCCGTTCGAGCGATCTGATGTTATTAAAGGGCGGACACGGCCAGCTACAAGCACTTGCGCACTTGACGGCGACTCTCCCATGTTGGACATGTCCCCCATTGTTCCTCAAAATAAGAAACCTTCCTCAAAACACTCTTGTTCTTGTTCACTTTAGTAGGTCAGCCATTTCCATGGTGGGGTTAGTTTCGTTTGTTGATAGCATGCAGGGCTGACAACGGATCTAGTCACCCGAGAGTATTATATGGTTCTCTTTTAGTAATCTTCAGTTCTTACCATTGTTCTTTTTTAAACATAATTTACACTTTAAGTTTGATATTAATTTGAGTAATGTTTCTGGTACTTTTTAATCGATGTAAATCCACTCAAGGGTAGTAGGTGGGTGATATGTGCCAAAGTTGGCCTCTTGTGTTGTCGGCGTCTGTAAACGTTAAAAGCGCGCGTAATTATGAAGCTGCTCATTTTGACAGCAAAGGTTTTATGACACCCTCCACCCTAACTAATGTTTTTCTTCTTATTTTGTTTCTAGAGTCTTGTGAGATTAATAAAGAAGGAAACGCGACCACTGTTGGTACTCTTCTACGCTCCCTGGTGTGGATTCTGTAAGCAGTTGAAGCCTCATTATGGTGATGCAGCAAGAGAGTTACGGGATGAAGCTGTAATGGCTGCTATTGATGTTGATCGCCCTGAAAATAATGTTGTAAGACATCAATTCAACATATCTGCCTTTCCGACTCTGCTATATTTTAAGTAGGTCACATCAGCACCTCGCCCTCTAAATGTTTTTCTTTTGTTTTTCCATCAATTAATTTTTATTGTATTTCCTTTTAAAAGGAATGGAAGAATGCAATTCGCATATGAAGGGGCAAATAAAAAAAATGATTTAGTTGCATTTATGAGAGATCCCTCTGAAACAGCACGCAAGGAAAAAGAGAAGCCTAAAGAGGAACCTTGGTCTGCTACTCCTTCTGATGTTGTTCATTTGACAGTTGATGATTTTGACTCATTTATCCAGGTAAGCATTGAAGCATAAAATTGTTATAGTCTTGATATTGTGTTTGAAAATACTTAAATTTAATTTTCAATGTAACAGGAAGAGCAAACTGTTCTTGTAATGTTTTACGCTCCATGGTGTGGACACTGTAAAAGGATGAAACCTGACTATGAAAAAGCAGCACGAATGATGGTGGATCAGAAGGTATTATATGCCTACCCCTTAATGTTTTGTTTTTATTTGGCAATTTTTTGGATATTTAATCCCTGTTTCGTATCCAAAATATACAGATTCCAGGCAAGCTAGCTGCTGTTGATGCCACTGTTGAACAAAGCCTTGCTAAGAAATTTAAAGTTCAAGGCTATCCTACAGTAAAACTTTTCCACGAGGGAGAATTCAAATTTGATGCAAATGCTCGTGATATTGAGCGCATAATTGCTTTGATGAAAGATCCCACAAAGCCACCTCCAGTCCCTGAAGAGGAGAAGCCATGGTCTGCTGTTCCTAGTGAAGTTATTCACTTAACCACTGATACTTTTAAACAGGTTCTGAAGAAAAAAAGACATGCCCTTGTCATGTATTATGCACCATGTGAGCAGTCAATTTCTTACATTTGAAATATTTTGACATTATGTCTGTGTTTGAAGATATTCTCATTGAGCTTCTCTATTTTAGGGTGTGGGCACTGTAAAACCTTGAAACCCTACTACCAGGATGCAGCTCAAGTGTTTGAAGATGAGCCTCAAGTTACTTTTGCAGCTTTGGATTGTACAGAACATGGGGAAGTTTGCAAATTTGCAGGAGTTTCAGGATATCCCACCCTAAAATATTACCACTATTACAATAAGGGTCAAGCAGACTACAATGGTGGTAGAACTGTAAGTCTATTATCTGTTATTAAAATAATATTGAAACATGGTAAAAAGTTTGGTGAAATTGTATTCCAAAATATCTTTTTTCTCTATTTACAGAAAGACGACCTCATCAAATATATGAGGAATCCACCTCAGGTGACAAAAGATGAACTGTAGAGGTGCAATGATTATCTTAAAATTTAAACCTTTAATTTTTTGTTTTGGTTTGGGAAGTGTCTGACTTAAAAGATTCAGTGATTTTGCATAAGTCGTCTAGTGCTATATGAAAATGTTTCCTAAATATTAAAGTTTACAAATTACCCTTCATAAAATGATCTGTTGGATAGACCTTTTGGCATAGTGAAGAAGGGTAAAATAATGTGCTAAACTTGTGATTGTTTTCCTGTGCTATTGGCTCGATAAGCCACTAACAATTACTAATGATTTTTAATCAACTTTTCTTGTATTATGAAATCTATACCATTTGCTCACCCCCAACTCTTCATATTGACATTCCCCTAAATGTATTATGGCTTCCGAGTTTAATTTTAATATGCATTGTTTTGTTTATGGTCAATACTCACATGTGGTAGGATATAAGGTTTTGCATTTATTAGCATAATTCTAATTCTTTTGAAATCTATAGACTGATTATGAGATCTGAACTTCAATACTTCCATATTCCCCTTTGAATGATCTGTCTTTCTCCATCTCCTTAGACGAGGTCTATCTTCTACCTTCCCATTTCTACCTAATCATAAACTAAATGTTAAATAAGACTGTAAAGGTTCAACTATGTAGGTGGTACAGTGTGTGTTGAAATGATTCTGATATGAGTGTTAAACAGTATTTGCTTTTTATTTTTTTACCAATTATTGAATACCATGTACTATGACATGTTATCTATTTGTAAGATGTACATTTCCCTCATAATGACAGTTTTCTTGTTACACAATTCTAATAATCTTTTATTGTATGCAATATGCTTTACTTGTCTATTGGTATATCATCAAATTTTTTAAATTACAGCTTTTAGCCCATATGCTGATATTAATTTTCAGTTTGCTGTTTATCTTCTATATGATATAGGCTTGTCATTTTAACTATCTAAATTTTTGAAACATCACATCATGTAAGGAAATATTGCAAATTTGTCTCTTGTGTACCTGCAAATTTCTAAGCTACTTTATTTCTCTTAGAAGTGTTCCACTCAATACAAAAAATCATAGCAATTTGTAATTTTTTTTTTTGAACATTTGTATTTTTCTATGGAATAATAATCCTCCACTTCATAAACTAAAACTCTGAGCTTTTCCTTTTCAAAAAAGTTGTATAAAGATTCATCACTGAGAACGTGCGGAGAGGTGCGATGCAATCAGTCTCGCAGTTTGTGTGATGCTTGCGATTATTATTTCAGAACTTTTTTTTTTTTTTTAATAATTTAAAATTAGTGAATCTATTGAACTGGTCCGAGAGGGGAGACTGGCTGGGCGCTGGGCTTGGGCCCGCTTGGGCTTGGGGCTTGGGGCTTGGGCTGACGGGCATTAGTTTCTCATAGTGGTGTCATGGCCTCGCGCGGGGATACTCAGCACGGAAACCAACCTTCTGGCGGGCAATTTGTATTGTGGAAATTGTTGAAATTGGAGGGAGATCGCTCACTTCGAAGGCATTAACACGAACGGCTTTTTGAATCTTTTTATTTCAAACATAGAAATGGTATTTGATCAATTTTCTATCTCTTTATAATTTTTAAAATGGCACGCTCCTGTACTGATTGTCAAACGTCAAAATCTCGCTGAGAACCGGGGCTGTCTGCTAGAGTGGCGTTTTGCGTAGTCGTGGGTGGGTCGATCTGCTTGGAAAAGAAGTAGAGCTGCTCCCACATGAGCTTCTGGTTGGTGTCCACTGGCTGGTGGCGGTAGATCAGCTGATGCCTCTCGTCCGCTTCAGGGAAGCTGTGAGCGTTGCGGCGCGCCTCCGACACCAGAAAGTCGGCGAAGTAACGCGATGCGGCCACCGCCCGTTCCGAGTGCGGGTAGTGCTTTGAGTAGATAACAGGAGCGTTCGTTACTGACAAAACCCAGTGAGGAGTGATTCCAAAACGTTGTCAGGTATCAGAGAATTTGTCAGCTTTAGAATCAGTCACGATAAAATTCCTCGGATCCCTTCAAATAGATATACATTTAATTCGTGGTGTGCAGTAGTGATTGACTTTACCTTGCTGCGCTTCCACTCGTATATATTTTTCTCCGGGTGAAACTGGACGCCGTAAAAGGGTTGTCTGGTGTGTTCGAACGCCGAGATAAACTCCACGCCCTCAGCGTCCTCGCTCACGGTCAATGTCCGCCAGTCGCTGTCCAGCCCGCGCCTCAGGACGAAAGCAAAAATGCGATACACGGACGGCGATCATCAGACACAAAGTCATACGCAGAGTAACATAAATGGCTCACCTCTGCATCTCCGCCCTGGTGACGCACCTCCGGTGGTGGTTCACGGTCACGTTGTACTTCTCCAGCGTGGTCACGATCTTCCGCGGCGCCCTCGAAAACATGCGGCTTCCCCCCTTCGCACCTGTAAGTACCATTATCACTCTTTCAATCCCTGTGCAATCACATATAGTCCATTCTAGTATGCTGCCATTCATGCTTGTCGCCTATTCCCCTTTACTGTACCTGGCAGGAACCTGAGCGGCAGCGGGTCCTCGCTCTTGCACGGACTGCGCAAGTCCTCTTTGGCGTCCAAGACGGCAAGCAGCTCCATGCCGAGGCAGATGCCGAACACGGGGAAGTACTGGCCGCGAGCGTTGATCGCCTTGGCCTCGTCGTACAGTTGTCGACCAGCGGCCGCGTACCTGCGGTGTCAAAATTGACGGTGTACATGTACAGAGCTGAAGTTTTCGAGAGGTAGAGCCACCGTTATAAGAACAAGATACTCCCCAAGGAAAATGTTTCTCTCACGAAGACCTTATTGTGACCTCTGAGGTCACGTTTTTTGCACTTGTGGGGTCACCAGTGAGGTCACTAGTGCAAGAATCGTGACCTCTCGTAAGTCATAAAGAGGTCACTATGAAGTCTTCGTGAGAACCACGTTTTCCTTGGGTCTGCGTCTGCATTTACGCGCGGTATGCAAAATTACCCGTTCTCCTCGTTGAAGTACGTTGCACCTCCCGGGAAGAGGAGTCCGTTGACGCTGTTGGCCATTTGTTTGTAGTACTCGGGGGACTGTCCAATCAGAATGGGGGCGACTTGTGCACCGGCGCCCTGTGGGGCGGACGAGAAGCGATCCGTATTTGGTTTGCAAAATCATACTGAAAACTTTGGCAAGTAAGGTCCTAGGTGCGGGGCAGCACATGCGGATCAAATTGAAGAACCCTGGACGTGACAAAAGTCGCATTTTTCGACTCGCCCTGGATTCATACCAGGTGGCTGACTCACGCCGCGCGCTCTCTGAGTTGCACTGTACCGATGCACTCGTACACGTGCGGGCGGGTTACCTACTCTCACGGCACCATAAGTAGCCGTGGGCTGCGGGCTGCGAGGATAGGCAAACCTGTTCGCACCCGTGCATGCGGTACAGTATAACTTCGAAAGTGCGCGGCGTGAGTCAGCCACCTGGTACAACACTCCTAAGGGTTGGGGTTTCTCTGGCCTTGGCCCTCAGGTCTGGCGGGGAGAGTACAGTGCACGAGTGCTAAACCCGAGTTATTTTGGGCTGTACGGTGCGCAGGTCCGGGGCAGAGCGATGCACCGCCGACAAGGTGGATAATTATCAGAGATAGGAGTATATTGTATCGAAACGTCCGTCGGACGCCTCGCTGACACTCAGGCTGCAGGCTGCACCGGGTAGTTGCTATGCACCACTCTCTCTAAAGTGTCTCGGGGGGAGGGGGACCGGGCGAAAAGAAGGGGGGGGGGGGGCAAATGCAAATGCAGTCAGGACACCATTGGGGAATACACCCGGAGTGTGCAAGATTGCATTCGACCTGTCCTTGTCAATAATTTGGCGTACAGCACCTCGACGAACTTGACGTAGGAGGCTGCGATGTAGCTGTCGTGGGTCCCGCAGTATTTCTCGATCGTGGGCGTAGGCTCCATGCTCAGGATGCCGATGACTGGCCTGTCCGTCACCTCGGCGGGCGCAAGGCTCTGCTGCCCCGGTGCCCTGGGTGGGGAAGGTATACACACCGTAAATACCGTAAGTACCTCGCTCGTCATGCGAAGCTCCGCGACGACAAAACGCTTATTGAAGGTTGAAATGTAGTGGGCAACGTCGTGACACTCACCAGGGCTGGGTCGCGAGGCAGTGCCCGGCGAGGAACAGCAGCGCGAGGAGGTTCGCACCCATGATGACGATGTCGGGCTTCAGGACGTCTGCAAAACGTTAAGGCTGGCTATGCGATGCGAATTCGCCAAATACCACGACGAGAAAATGGCTTTACGCCCTTCAAAGGACATGGACGGCATCGACCTTAAGGAGGCCGTGTTGAAGCGGTATACTGCGAGTTTCAACAGTTGGGGGCGGCGGCGGCACTGTGGCCTAGAGAGGGAGGGGATTGCGGAAGGAGGGGAAGGGCATGACCGGTGCAGTTGCGCCCTTTCGGCGGCAGGGCGAACACCCCCCCTCCTTTTCCCCCCGAAAAGAGCGTCACTCACCGCTGATGACCATCGACCACATCGACCAGACGGACGCGACGGCGACCATCTCACCGAGACGGTGCGACAATGGAGGGAAGACAGGACCGCGGCGCCCGCGGCTCGCTGTGTGGCGCTGGGCGCTGGCGCTGCCTGTTCGCCCACCGCCCCAAACACTACGCGCCGGGTGAGCCGGGTGGCGGGCCGCCGGGCCGCGGGGCCGCGCCGAGGACCGCGCGCGTGCGCCCTCGCCGCCCGCACACCCGCGCCCTCGCGGCAGACTCACCGCCCCCGCCGCGGCTACGCGGCTGCTGCGCGCGATCCGTCCGCGGGCGCCCGCCGCGGCACCCGTAGCGCCACCGCGCGACCGTTTGCTCAACTTCATGACCGGCATTGATCGGTTAGCCTCACGCCGGCTGACACTCACGATGGGCGCTAAATTTAAAACGTGTTTACGTGTGTGTGGCGCGGTCTTGGGGTCGAGCGAGGGGGAAAGGGGAAGGGGGGGGGAGGGTCTCGCACGCCTACAACGCAGAGAGAAGTTGAAATCGATGCGATACCAAATCCAACCGATATCGAAACGGTATCTGAAATGTGCAGGATTTCGGAAAACCAGTCTAGATCGATCTGACTGCTCGAACAACATCACTTACCGATATCGATATCGGTCTGACATCGTTTCACTATCACATTTGATGGCGTTTAATATAGCAGCGAGCTCCGAACCTTAAGACACAAAGGCTCGTAAAATCTGAAATTTTATGAGGAATCCGATGGTGCAATCCAAAACTAAATTTGAGGGCAGGCTTAGATAATATTACACAGACAAATTTAGCCCTCAGGGCAAAGAAACAGTCCTCTCGTACAGGCCACAGAGCTCCCAGCAGGCGTGGCGTGGCGTGGCCCCGGAGGCGTGGCCGAGCGCCGAAGACCCGAAGACTCCACAACATAACATACCTGGCGTTGAACGTGTGCGCGTGCGCGCTTTCCTACCTCCTCCGACGACCTCGGGGCGGGAACTGAAGGGGAGCGGAGTTGGAGAGGGAAAGACTGTTGTCTGCTCAGAGCCAAACCGAGAACCGAGGTGGCACCCGACTCCACCGACGCCTTAATTCCGACACTTGATCAAACTAATCGTTTAACCGTCTGTTTGAGACAGAGGCGCCCACACCGCCTGCGAGGTGACACTGCAGTACGAGTTCCGCTATGTACAGTAGGCAAAACTGGGCACATACTGTACATAAATTTGTCCTTTAGCCCGGCCAATCCTTACCTATTCCACTATGCAGCTGCCCCGCTCGTAGTTTCCACCCGCAACTCGTAATTCGCGTCCCTGTTTGTGGCCACAAAATCTGGCGGCCAGTGTCAGCATAATACGACCCGACTAGATAAGATCCTTTTTCGGGCAACATGATATCTGACGCCCCCAGAGCCACACCCCCTTTTGTAGCTGCACAGCTGTACATCAATCGACACGGCCGCATGCAGCTTCATCCGAATCAAAACCGTCCGTCGGCCCTGAATTCGACTCCCGGCCGGGGCACAGTTGAGTGGCGATCGTGGGGATGGTCGAAAGTTCGAATCCCGTCCGCGATCCTTTTTCCTGCTCTGCTGGCCAAGTGTCTTCGGGCGTCAGTCACAGCTGAGATCTGATCTTCTGGATGCAGCCGAAAGTTGTGCTCTGTATCGTTTCGTCGTGGCCAGGTCGGTAGCGCCCGGGCCCGGTATGAACCTGGTCGCTGGTTCGGAACTCGGCCGGGTGATATTTTTCGCGCTCCGCTGGCCATGACTTTACAGCCGTGCGACACCTGATGTGATGGGCCGGTACGCAATCAGTCGCTGGTTCAAATCTAGTCGACGGAACCCTTTTGCCCCTCTGCCGGCCATGTGTTTCGGGGTGTGAGCGTGAGCCACAGCGGATAAGCTTCATGTAGGAAAAAGCTTCATTGGCTCCGTTGGTAGAGCGCTCGCCCGGGACGTGAATGGTCGTGGGTTCGAATACTGACCGAGGCTCAGTTTTTTCCTATTTCGTAGTTTG